AATTAAATTATAAATATAAAAACTAATTGGGGGATTGTCTTGATCTTTTTTTTCATAAAGGACAAATCCATTATAAATAAAAATAAAGTTTACAAAGGTTAGAAGGAACTAAAAGAAAATAACCTAAAAGATAAAAGTCTTGAATCTAATAGAGTAGCAAATGGTATAATTTTAAAATCAATATAATCAAAATCTTTGAGCAAAGACCGTTTATCTTAGAGCACCACATCGCATTTCTCTGCTCGTAAAGAAGCTATATTAATAGAAGTTTTGCCGACACATTGTATATTAATTGGGAGATTACCTTGATCCTAAATGTGACATTTTAATGTACTTTATCTTCTAAATTTCTAATTTTTTGTTCATATTATCTCCACTGATCGCGTTTATTAAGATGTTTCTAATGAAGGAATGATGTTCAATACAAATAATTAAATAAACATTTTATCAGAACTACTACACATCTGTTATCCAAACTAGTTTAATTAATTTTCTTAATATCTATAAATTAATTATCCATTTTTATATTTAAAATTGGAGGGAGTAGCTGTTAAAACCTATTGTATCCAATGAATGAAAAACCAAACTGAACACTAAACCGATTAAGATAATAGTTCAAGGGTCAGTGGATTAGACCGAGGTCAACTTAGAGTCAAATCAATTATATTAAAATAATATAATTTAATTAAAAATAACAAAATATAGTAATATTAATAATAACTAATAACAAAATACAAAGAAATACAACAATAGTTTGATCGTAACCATAACAAAGTACAATAACATTGAGGATTTTGATCTTTACGATTGCTCAATAATTAAAATTAATACTCATTAACACCAAAATTATTATTAAAATTCATTTAAATATGTGGTAAATGAGATATTAGGAGTTGAATGAGGAAAAATAAAACCAATAGCAACATAATCATCCAAATCGATTCATTACCAGTTTTCACCAATTCATCCTTATTTGACCGGTTTGATACTTGTTCAATTTTTAGCCAGTTCAGCATTTAAGCCAAACCGAACCACTGGATGGTTCACCAATTTTTAAGTTGAACCGACTAGTTTATTTTGGTTTTTTCTTCATTGATTATATCACATGCAAATTTTATGACTAGATGATACCTTTGGTTATTTTGTGCTTTGGTTCTAAATATAAGGCTTCAATCTATTTTGTTTCTAATATTAATCTATTATGCTTTTAAGTAAACCCTATAGTAATTAAATATATTAAGAAGTTTTTATAAAAAAGGTGACTTAATTAAGGACGAGAGGTAGCATTTTATTATAACCTGCCTTGACCAGCATTTTTCTACAAGCTCTGTACTTCATTAACTACTACTTAGTGTAATTCACTTCTGCTATGAAGGACTCGGATACCTTTGATTTTTTTTCCGCCTGAAGTTTAATTCTTTTTTTTATAATATGATTTACTTTTTCTTTTTTTAACTTTATTGCATTTATATTAAATGAGCATTTCAAGCGACAATCAAATGGGCCATGAAACTATATACCAAGTTAAAATATTTTTTCCACCAAATTTTTTTTTATAGTCAACTTGATATAAAAATTAAAAAAATCCTTTTTCTGCCAGGAATGTTTAATTTACTTCTATGCTAAATCACCATCAATGTTAGCTCTCATTTTTTACTTGACACTACTTCAGACAAAGTTTCTTTCTCAAATTTAAACGCATAGGTAGAATTTTCTCCTTATATAAATTTTTAAAATAGTAGAGAAATTTACGTAATTTTAAAATAAAAATTTAAAAAAGATCATATCGTTTATTTTTTGCTCATCAATCATATCATTTATTTAAGTTCCATATAACTAATAATAATTTGGCCAAAAAGACTAATAATAGTGGGTCTATTAGGATTAGCGATTGAAAAAGTAACTTATTATCAATTTAAATTTTAGAAAAGTGAAATTGGGTAAAAGTTAAATTGAACTATGTGAATTGTGTTTGGATTGGATTTTATAAAAATTAGTTTGTAAGAATTACATTGGGTAAAAAATTGTTTAGATTATGATTGAATAAAAATAAGTTTCGTTTGTATAATTTTTAAAATGGGTATGAGTTTTATTAGATATAAAAAATAATAAAAAAATAAATTTACATAATAAAATGAATTTAAATTAGTAAGTTTAGTTTGTACAATTACCCAAATCAGTTCAAGTTTTATAAAATAATGATAAATGATTAAAAAATGAATTTACATGATACAACAAATTTAAATTATTTTAATATGAAGAAGTGAAATTTTTTGACTGAAATATATTTTAAAACATTAGAGATATAATAAAAAATTATTGCAAATACAAAGTGAAGCATAATTTTAATGGATGAAATAGTTTTAGATTAAAATTTATGGTATTGTAACAAAGTTAAACGAAATAATATTACATAATTAATTAACTGATAAGCTATGGACAATTTGTTTTTTGATTATGTCACAAATATGATTCATATGCGATGAAGACTCTGATGTTATATTTGAAGATAATTCTTGACTAGTTTCATTGTGATCATCTTCCCCAATTATAGTATCATTTTCAGCTTTTAGGAAATAGTTGTCAAATCTTGAATGTCTCCTTCTAAAGTTATGAATGGTCATTGTTGCACAAACCAGGTATACTTGTGCTTGGAAGTTGTAACTACACATATTTCGTAAGATTTGAAATCTATTCTTCCAAACCCTAAATGTTCTTTCTATTGTGCACCTTAAACTATAATGATAATAATTGAAGGCTTCATTAGTATTTTGAAATCCTACTTGTCAGTAGAAGTCTTGAAAGTAGTAGCGCTTGGATTGTATGGACCAATATATCTATTTGGTGTTGGATATCCCACATATACCAAGTAATATTTCCCTAATAATATATGAAACTATTGTGACGTTGTGAAATTAATTGAAATATAAAATAATTAAAAATTAGCTTAATTGAAGGTTATATATATATATATATATATATATGTACCTGGAGGTGGATGAGGGAAATTTAGAGATAGTTCTAATAGCAGTGTCAAATACATAAGCCCTCCGATCATAAAAATCAACAGGCAAATCGGCCATTACATGCAATCAACAAAGATGAAAAGAGAAAACAGATATTTTGCCAACTTGTGCCAGATCGGCCAAAATGAAGCCTGACAGAGTTAGATCAGAGAGTGTATTCTATTAGGAGGCCAAGATCTCCATGCACAACTCACATACACTACTTAGATGGCGGCCACCACGGCTTCGAGGGGCCAGTTGCAGATCGAAGGTGTGAAGACGTTTGGAGAAGCGATGAAGGAGGAGGAGATAACCCAACACTAGACCCAACACGAGATGAACCTCACGGCAGAGAGCGGAAGGAACTCACGGCGGAGAGGCGATAGAGCTAACGCGGTGGGGGCAACGGAGTAAGCTCTATCCAGCGGCAAACCTTTGAGCATATGAGGAATGAGTGAGGGAAAACTACTAATCTAACATGTAATTATTAATTCTAACAGTCCATAAGCATGATCTTTATTTGAGAAAGCTCCCTCAAATTAACTTATGAAAACGTACGTTTTAGGGTGTGTTTGGGTGTCTCCCCAAACCATGGTTTAGGGAAAAAATAACCCAAACACCCATAAAAAAATCAAAACCATAGTTTTGGAAAAAAACTTCTTGAATTTGCTTTTGGAAAAAATTGGGGAGTGTCATGCTTTTAGAAAAAATGTTATAGAATTTCATGTTTAAAATCTTTAAAGCAAATTAATATTTTTCTATTAGAAAAAATAATCATTTTTCTATAAACATATTTAATCTTATAATTTAAAAATATATATACATATTAATTAATTATTAATTATATTATCTTATATATTATTAATTATGTTGGTAAAAATTATTTTATCAACAATTTTATTCCTTCAAATCAACATACTCCTCCGGTCCTAATTATAAGACCCAATTGACTTATTTGAGGAGATTAAGGAAGTAAGTTAAATTGGTTATTTATAATAAATAAGTGTTATCATTCCTAAAATATTCTTACTAATTAAGTATATTGGCTAAAACTATCATCATTAGAAGGATTATCTTAGAAAAAATGCATAAATATAAGAGAGAAAATGGATTGGGGTCTTATAATTAGGACCAAATAAAAAGTCAAATGGGGTCTTATAATAAGGACCGGAGGAGTATATTATAAAATCTATCCCTTATATAATTGTTATATTAACTTATGCCCTTTTTAGTAATTTGCACATCTAAAAAGTGCTTCTGGTAACAATTATCCAAACACTTTCACTTCTCAGAATCACTTTTTTACAAAATCTATTCTTCAAAAAATCTATTATCTTCGGAATCTATTCTCCAGAATCACTTTTCCAAACTATGGTTTGATTTCATCCAAACACACCCTTAATCTAGCTCTTAGTTCTCAAGTAAGATGGCCCAAAAGGTCTCCTAAACAGGCTCTCATTTTCCAAATGTGCTTACGCTGAAAATAAGTTACTTTTAGCCCATAAAACGCTGATCCAAATAGGCTAAATGCCACTTCGATTCTAAATATAATTCACTTGTAGGGAAATTTTTTTCTCTTATAATGTTCTTAATATAAGATCATGTTTGAATTTTATTTTGGTCCTAAATAAAAGACCCCAATCCACTTTATCTCTCATATTAACTCAATTTTTTCCAAGATAATCCTTCTAATAATTATATGTCTGGTTAATATATTTGATTAGTAAGGATATTTCAGGAAAGACAATATATATTTAGGATAAATAACTAACTCAATTTATTTTTTTAATCTCTTTAAATTAATTAACTGGTTCTTATAATTAAGACGGGAGATAGTATTTGATAATGATAGATAAATGTAGAGAATAATTGTTAAATACAGTAATTAATTAGCTTTATGCGCGTGGACGGTCAAACTGGGGCAGTGGGGGAACCTGTTGGGGTTTCAGGGCACGCCTTGTAGAGAGAGAGGAGAATCCGCGTTAGAGAGAGAGGGGGAAAGACTCTTTCTGTTTACTGCTTCAACCCCTCTCACTCTCAAAGGGACACGCGAAAGGTGGAAGCCAAAAAAACAAGTAGAAGGTTACAACTTGATACGAATAAACTATTCAGGAGTGCGTGAGAGAGAACAAGAGAGAGGTAGAGAGAGAAAGAGAGAGAGAAAGAGAGCTGAAAAAGAGGCAGGCAGGGAATAGGGGGTCGTGTCGGCTTCAACCAAACACGACCTTATCAACCATTTCTTCCGTCGAATTTCGATCTACTTCATTGGTTTTCGTTTTTTGTCATCTCCTTCTTCTCCCCGAAACCCTAGCGACTTGCTTTGCTGTTCCAACTTGGGGGTCCGGAGGAGGTAAATCAGCTTTAAGGTATACTGGGTGTGCTGTTTGCTTTTGAAATTTTGTACTTGGCGCATCGGTTGGGAGAAATTTTGGGTCATTCTCATTTTGGGGTTCTGGGTTTTGATTCTGATTTGTACTGTCATTGGGTTCGTGCATCTGATTTTGGATTTTGTTGTGTTGGTATTGATTCAATGGTTGTGTTTGAGGCTGTGTTTGCTTTGTGGGAAACTCTGTAAAGCTGTGTTTTTTTTGTAATATATAATGAGGTTTGCGTCCAATTGGTGTTCTTTTGTTCCCTTGGATCCGGTGTTGTGGGAACTGGAAATGGAAAATGTTCATTTTTTTCCCTAATAATTTTCCTAATGAAATATTTTCCTTTCTCAGGGGCGCACACAGTTTTCCCTTTACCGACAGCATCAATATACTTACGCTCGTTTGAGTAAAATCGCTCAATTTATACCCTGGAATAGTTTTGCGCAAAGCAGGCATGTGAAATTTTGACGATTGTTTTCATTATAATAATTATAATTACTCTTAAGCTAAACCTTACTTGTCTCATCTAAGGTGCATAAGCTGAGTTAGTGAGTTACCCTTAACGCTAGTGGAAGAGAAGTTAGAAAAAATCAAGGCTTTATTTAACTGCTTCAGAATCCTTATGTCATGTTTATTGTTAATAACAAATGAGTTTTAGTAGTTGGCAAATGGTAATAAAATTGATGAAATGATTTTTCTCTGTAACAGAACCATTTTAAACCCCGAGTTCTCCAAAATCCTGAGTTCTTGTTAAGATTCTTCCCATGGCATTTATGGCTTCAAATCAGACTTCTGGTGGAAACCATCCAGGTTTGAGTTTATACCGTCACTATTTCTGTGATTTTTCTAGTGTGTTTGTTTTGACTTGAATATTTTTGGATCCCTCAACATGCAAACATGTTTGGTAGCTTAAAACTACTTACTGTTTCCAAAACGTAGGTGACAATTGTTGAATGGTAAAACATTGTATGATGAAGTGAAGAAATAAAAACTTGTCTTGACATGCAACTGCTTATGATGGCCTAATTAATTTGAATTACTCTATCTCCTATCATTTCGTTATTATTTGTGTGAATGATATTGTATGTATAGGAGCTTTTGCTCTTGGAAAGTTTGAGGTTGAAGTAGGACAAGGAACTACTTCTGCTTGTTCTTTTCTCCTTTTGGTTTCTGAGAGTAAAACTATAAACTGTGTTTTTCGTTTACAATTTGCCAAACTGAAGTTAGGTAAAAGTTAGTTATTATAATGATATTTAGGTTTGGATACATTTTTCCAAAAATCAGTTCGGCAAGCTGAATTTTTTTTTTTTTTGATGATTTAGGAGATGAGAGTTGTTAGAGATTAACTGCCATTAAAATGCTAAACTAATTTTTTTTTGAACGATGAAAAGAACTGAGACTTGCGATTCCTAAATTGACTTTTTCTATGGGATCCACGTATTGGAAATGGGCCTTCAAAAAATAAATAATTTCTATTCAAACATGGGTATGGTGGAGGTAAGTTTCCCAAATGGACTTTTGGAGTACTGAAAGTGTTATCCAAACACCCCCAAAGTGTGAGTTGTGGGTGATAAGTTAAAATGCAAACTGCTAGTAGTGTGTAACATTGTGTCCACTTCTACAAGGTCAGCCAGTCACTTGATCTTTATCCTGCATAGCGCATTTTTACAGTAGGTTTGAAGCGCATTCCTCCCAGTAATCATTTTATTCTTGTACTCATGTACTACGTTTCTTCTATCATTCATATACGTACAATAGAGCTTTAGGTCTGCCACTACTGTGCTTGCTCCATGTGGACGCAGTTCTGTGTTGGCTGGTGATGGTGTGATTTGTTGAGTTTTCAAATGGTCTGACCTAAGTTGTAACTTCTAGGTTTGCTGAAACACTACTATTGCCTTGCTTCTGGTCTCGATCAATTTTATGTGATCAAATTGAAAGTTATGGATCTCTAGTATTAGGAGTTGGTATGAAATATGAACTTAAAAGTTTGGTGCATGGTTAGATGCAATAAAATCTTTTTCTTCCTCCTCTTTGCTTCCTTATGTTTTTCTTGTTATCCATGATGAAGTTATCTCCTCATGTTTACTTTATAGGGGCAACCAATGATGCTTTGTACAAGGAATTGTGGCATGCCTGTGCTGGCCCCCTTGTCACTCTTCCACGCGAAGGGGAGCGGGTTTACTACTTTCCACAGGGCCACATGGAACAGGTATCTGGGTTTTTATTGCAGTATGAGTCTGAGAATTTTCATTGATGAGCCGTGAGCAAAATAAATTTGCATGCAATGAACAATGTGAATTTGTATTTGAGTTTAGTTTTTATATAAATGAAACTTAGCTGCTGCTTAACAACATAGCAATTTTAGACTTACCCCTTGTTTCGATAGAGACAAAATGAGGGAGGAAAGAAAACTAGAGAGGAAAATGAGGAGAGAAATGGGTTTTTCCCTGTTTGGATGACGAAAGAAAAGCGGGAGGAAAGAAAAGTGGAGAAGATGGGGTGTGGGACCCATCTCATTTTCTCCCCAACTTTTCTCTCCACATATGGAGAGAAAATGAGACGAAAACTCATATTCCTCATATGCCCTCTCATGTTAGGTGAATAAATGCATATTTTCCTTTTGATGCAGTTTCTTTTAATTTTATTTATGGCTACTTTATAATTTAGCAAAATAATCTCACTGCATAGCGGCCAAGTTCCAAACCATTATATAAACTTCATTTTTTTCCGCATTCAATGGAATACGGGGAATTCGCACCAGCTATACACACATGCACACATATATGTTTCTCCATCTCTTTCGACTGTTATAATAATTTTGACTTTTATTATTTAATAATAATTTTAAATAAATATATATTATATATTTTTTTATTATATTTAATTTAAAGAAATATCCACTTTTTTAGGGGTATTTTAGTCATGCACATATTTGGTCATTTTTTTTCCTTCCTATTTTCTCTCCTCCATCGAAACAAGATGGGTGATAATATTTTCTCTTTAGTTTTCTGTTCTCTCCATTTTCTCTCCCATTTTCTTGCCTCAAAATTTTTGTTCTCATCCAAACGGAGCGTTAATTAAAGCCAACCGCACTGCAGTTTGCACATTGAATTCCATTATCGTTTTTGAATCCTTAGCCTACGGCTATAGTTGATGAAATTACATGATGATGTGGTTTTTTATTTTGTAGCTTGAGGCCTCGATGCATCAGGGGTCTGATCAGCAAATGCCTTCCTTCAATCTGCCTTCTAAGATTCTGTGCAAGGTTGTCAATGTTCATCTGCGGGTGAGTGATGATTTTTCTATGCAATCAATCGCTGAGGAATTGGCTGTGCTTTATCAGCAGTATCATTTAATATTAACTAATTTATTCTTGGTTTTGTAGGCTGAACCCGAAACAGATGAAGTCTATGCGCAAATAACTTTGCTCCCTGAAGCTGATGTGAGTTTTTTTTTTTTTTTTAAATTTTATTCAGCAAGGTTTTCACATTGTACATTCAATTTTTTATTGGTTAGAGAGTAAAATTAAGAGGGAAGGTACCAATTAAGCTGGGAGATACCGATGACAAGGATAGGGTATGCTCCAAAGAGATGGTTGAAGATAATGACCAAAAATAGAATAATAAAAGAATTTAGATATTGGTTCTGTGCATTACAAGGAGCCCAAGAACAAATTGTGCTGTTCACTTCTTGTGAACAGTACATGTTGCTATAGATTTATATTTATTTATTTTTGGTCACCATATATTTATTTTTGTATATAGATAAGAAATTAAACATGCAGCAAAGCTTTCCAATCTCTCTTTATTTGCAAGAGACACTCCTTTATAAATTCCATGAGCTGAACATTTTAAAGATGTCCCAATCCACATTTTTGCTCCTGTCTAAAGACAAAGAACCCTGATGATATGAGTATCCCAAGCGGCAAATACACCAGATCTCAGAAATGCTATACATTGCTATGGTGTTCTGCTCTTGGGCGCACATGGTTTTTCAGTTAGTGATTCACCTTTTTCCTGTTCTACTTGCTCAAGATAATTTTCATTTCAGGCTGCTTTCTGATTTCTAGCGAGTTTCTCATAATTTTCTCTCTTCCATACCTATCTTATGTTTCTGTGCTCTGTTGGGTCCAGCAAAGTGAAGTGACAAGCCCTGATGATCCACTGCCCGAGCTTCCTAGGTGCACAGTTCATTCCTTCTGCAAAACGCTTACTGCATCTGACACCAGCACTCATGGAGGTTTTTCTGTTCTTCGAAGACATGCAGATGATTGTCTGCCACCCCTGGTTGGCTGCTTCTTTTCAACATTCCATATTTTAGATGCTTGGTAATTTTTTACTGTGACCTTCACTTCTATAATCCCCATGCTTTGCTCAGGATATGTCTCAGCAGCCACCATGGCAAGAATTAGTTGCAACTGATTTGCATGGGAATGAATGGCATTTCCGACACATATTTCGAGGTAAGTATTTTGCTATTATTCTCTATTTTTTAATCTTTTGAAGCCTGTTGACCTGGTAGATTTTAATATTTAATTTCAGTTTGTGTTTTATGAAAAATAGATTGATTATATTACATATGTCTACTGACCAAATGTGCTGTAAACTGAAGCAATCTTCAGGGTATTAGATAAGCAGCAACTTTTTTGGCTGCTAGTGGGAGATCATATAGTTGCTTTAACATAAAACGTGTCGTCTGGCTGTTCTTGTAATCTCAACTTACTAGGGAAAAATTACTCCTGGACTATGCTGGGGGGGGGGGGGGGATTAATTCTGGAGTCACGTGCAACTTTGCAAGTCAATCTATAAACGTTTAATGTAGTAGTCTCATGATATCTCAAGCTAACCTTCGGTTGGTTAGCTTGTGAAAATGATTTTTTCAGCAGAAAAGAAATGTTACCAGGTTCTGTTTATTTAGGCGTATATTATTTGCCATGTTAGTTTGCAAATGGATAACATGTTGATTTTGCTGTTGATTGTGATTATCTCATTCATTAGTGTCTGGCGCATCCAGTAACAAATTTTTGTACTATCTATGAGCTCCTTACTGAACATTAATTTTCAGGGCAACCTAGGCGTCACTTGCTTACCACTGGATGGAGTGTGTTTGTAAGCTCCAAAAAACTGGTGGCTGGTGATGCTTTTATATTCCTAAGGCAAGTTGATACGTAGTAGTACCTTTCCTTCTCCTGCCTTACAGGGATTAGAACAAAGTTGGGTTCTTATGTCTTTCTTTGTTGCTTGGTGATGGTGAGTTGTGTAACCTGCTTTATTCCAGGGGTGAAAATGGAGAGCTGCGAGTTGGAGTTAGGCGGCTCATGAGACAACAGAACAATATGCCTTCTTCCGTCATATCCAGTCACAGTATGCATATTGGAGTTCTGGCGACTGCATCTCATGCAATTACCACTGGGACACTGTTTTCTGTGTTCTATAAGCCCAGGTTTTGCCCTCAACTTTGTGCAACTGCTTATTTATTTTTATAATTTTAGTTCATGATGTCAAATTGTGAGTGGTTCCTCTGTAGTACCATTGTGCAAATTGAACCGTAAGTGCTATTAAGATGCGCATAGGATGAGTTGATTCAGATTTTCATTGAAGGTTCTGATTTAAAATCAAGATAGAAGGGAACAAAGATAATTGATTAGCCTTCTATGTGTAATGTGCTGCATATATTACAAGTAACATTTGTAAATATTTTTTGTCTTGGATTTTGCTAACTTATTTTCTCTTTCGTTTTGGGATGATGTATTTCTCTTGCTTTTTAACTGAATAGACTTTAAACTGATTTGTCAATGTTGGTGTTAGGACAAGCCGATCAGAGTTTATCGTGGGTGTCAATAAGTATCTTGAAGCTCGTAGTCATAAGCTTTCTGTTGGGATGAGATTCAAGATGAGATTTGAGGGTGATGAAGTTCCTGAGCGAAGGTGTGTGATTTTATGGTTAAATCTGGGATATCATCACATCCTAAGTAATATATTTCCCCCTTCATACAGGTTCAGTGGCACAATTGTGGGTGTTGGAGATAATAACTCACCTGTCTGGCCGGATTCTGAGTGGCGATCATTAAAGGTTAATAGTGACCTTTTCAATTGGATGTCTACCGCTTATCTTTTGTACTTATGGTTTTTTGGATTCAGTATTGGTTGTACATTATTAGCATATTGTTTAAGTAAATGGAAATTGATTTTTTTGTTTTCCAATGAATTTCCAGTAACTGAAGTTTTTGGCTATGAAAATGATTGATGACACATGTTTTTTTGGTCTTTTTTGTTCCTTTTTTTCCGCATATACCAACTATTCAATTCTAGATGTTTAGTGCAGTTAAGAAAGCTCAGGTTATGATGCGTTAGTTTTACACTGGGATCTCAAGCATTTATATTTAACTCTTAAAAGTGAATTTAAAGATGAACATGCTGATATATTGAGCGGCTAGAAATTGTAGCCAATTACGGAGTGGCTTTCAGTTCATTTTATTGTGCTGGAGTGTTCATTTGCTAAATTATTATTTTATGACTTACATATATTCCATTTCAGGTGCAATGGGATGAACCTTCATCAATTTTACGTCCTGACAGAGTCTCTCCTTGGGAATTAGAGCCCCTTCTGGCCACCGCTCCTGCGAACATTCAACCACCTCAAAGAAACAAGAGGGCTCGGCTTCCTGTTCTACCATCAACAGTACCTGATTCGTCTCTGCATGGTATGTTGGTCTTGGACTATTTCGTTATGCCAAACCTGTTATCTGTGCCCTACATGTTTTTTGTTTTCTTTGGATTTCAGGGGCATGGAAACCATCAACTGAATCTCCATCTTTCTCCTATTGCGACTCACAACATGGACAAGATCTCTATCAATCATCTAAGTTCAATTCTACTGCAACCAACTTTCTTGGGTTTGGTGGGAACAAATCTCTGGGGACTGCTTCCAACAATTCCATATATTGGTCTAGCAGGGTGGAGAACTCTTCAGAGCATTTTTCGCCCATAGCTCTTAAAGAATCTGGTGAAAAGAAACAAGGCACTGGAAATGGCTGTAGGCTTTTTGGGATTCAGCTACTTGAGAATTCTAATGCAGAAGAAAGTACGCCAAGAGTCACATTGTCAGAGAGGGTGGGGGATGATAGGTCAGTTCCATGTGTAGATGGTGAGCCTGACCAGCTTTCTGAACCATCAAATGTCAATGGATCTTATATCCCATCATTGAGTTGTGATGCTGACAAATCAAGTCTTCAGTCTCCTCAGGAATCACAAAGGCGGCAAATAAGGAGCTGCACTAAGGTAATATAACTCATTTGTCTTGGTCTGTTCTACAATTCATTTCTCTGTTTCTTTCCATATACTACCTTTTAACGTCATGATATTTTTCCTACCAATTTAGTGGATTGCTTCAGATTTTGTTTTTTAATTTTGTAGGTATAGAGTAATTGATGTCGTGTTATTTTTTTCTACTAGAATTTATTTGCATTGTTGTGGGCTTGTAAACAACTTAAACTATAAGCCAATAATTCATCAGCTTAGTTTAATGTATGCTATCAGTAACTATATCATTTTGTCGTTAATAAAGTTATAGCAAGTTTTAGTATACAGCTTCTGTGGTATTTTTCTATGCTCAACAATCCTGGTTATATGGTCCTTACACAATTTCCTAATGTCTAGAATCCATCATTTTTATCCAGAATATTTTCTATGTATCTAGTGTTGGTTGTCTTGCATTTGAATAACAGAAATTGCTAATGGCATGAATGCTTCCTTAGTGGGTTCGATTTGACTTGTATCCGGAGGCCATTAGTGGCCACTCCTCTAAATGTAAAACAAAAACAGAAATTCTTTTGCAGAGTTGAAGTGTCTTTATTCTAAATATATGGGGTTAAGAGGCCTTTTTTTTTTCAAAAAAAAAAATTTGATGCTATTGGCTAAAATTGTGCTTTTCATATTGTCATTCTTGGTGCGATGAAGTAATTTGGCATTTTCACTCCATTACTTCTGGTTCCTGCTTGGTGTAATGTGGATATTTATTTCTATGCCCAGGTTCACATGCAAGGAATGGCTGTTGGCAGGGCTGTGGATTTGTCACGGTTTGTCGGATATGATGATCTACTTAAAAAATTGGAGGAAATGTTTGACATCCAGGGTGAGTTGGATAAATCCGCAAAGAAATGGCAGGTTGTCTACACTGATGATGAGGATGATATGATGATGGTTGGAGATGATCCATGGCAGTAAGTTCCTTTGATGCCAACAGCTGCTCTGGTTCTTTCATTGTTTCTTGGATGCATTTTCTTATTTGCAAAGAGAATAAATTTGTCATTCTGATGGGCTAAACTAAATATTTTCTGATTATCTTGTCAGTAGGCTGCACAATTCCCTGCAAATTGTGGGGTTTGCTTCTGATCATAAATGTTACATGCTGTTTCTCTTATTGCAAATAATTATCACAGATGCTTTGTGAGTGTATATATGTCAATGATTATTAAATTTTTTCTATTTTGTTCCAGTGAGTTCTGCACTGTGGTGAGGAAGATATCTATCTACACACCAGAGGAGGCGAAGAAGCTTTCACCCAAAACAGGGCTACCATTCAACGAAGAAGTTAAACCAAGCAAGGTGGATTCTGAAGCAGCAGTCAATAGTGATGACCAGTCATCTACTGTGGGGCCTAGCTGCTAATACTCTTGGGCCTTCTGGCATGCCCTAGCTGGTTCATACAATAAATATTGGCATGAAAGTAGGAAGTAGAATGTTGAAAGATTCGAGAATGAATTCTCTTAGTACTAGCAGTTAACCATGGCCTCCGTGCATCTATGGTGTCGTGGCATCACCTTGTGACTAGCAACATGGACGCAGTGACTTTGGAGGGATGCTTTAGTTCAGTGCTGTTTGATCTTTGTCTTGAAGATAGGATTTCCTTTATTATTGTGGGTTTTGACAGCTTGTGGGCATGGCTTGTTCAGTTTTGAGTCAGCCACAAGCATGGGAAATGTTGTATCTTGCTGGGTATGGTCCTTTTTTTTTTTTTTTTGTCCCCCTTTTGAAATCCTTTTTCCCTTCATTGCAATCCTCTTGATGTAATGATGCTTTTCATTTTTGTATATAGTTTTTTTTCCCTAAAATAACTGGATACTGCTTTATATATGTATATGAGGCCGTTTTTCCGTGAATAGAAGCTGTGCAAAATCTTGTCTTCGGATTGACATTATGATGTATTATAAATAGCCTTGTGTTGGGCTCTTATCTTACTGACTTCTCAATGTGCAGTCATGTGCCTTCTTGGCGTATGGACTGTTGTCTCTTATATTTTATTCTATTAAATATTTAAATTATTCTTGCTGGAATCTTAGAACATGGACTTCTGTCTCATAACGAGCTTATTTGATTAATTATCCCTTGTCTCAAAATTTAGCACGGGAGTTGGATCTAATAAAAGAGGTCATAAGATGGTGAACTTATATTTGAATCCTAAGGTGTTTATACCTTATAGTATTTTGAATAAGATTATTTCTAATAAAAAGATACATGTGTAGGGAAAAAAAACATTAGGTAAAAGTCTCATTGCTCTATCTTTTTTTTCCTCCAAAGTCTTTCTTTTTTTCCCCCCTTTCCCCAAAAAAACTTGCATCAAGCAATCTTTAGCGGTGTTTGATTCACTTACAAAAAATTGTTTTACAATAAGACTCATTTATCTTGCACTTGCATAATGCAAATTACTTGAACTACTTTAAATCAAACATTCAAATAACTTCATATTTTTCTTGTTTTATGAGACTAGTTGGTTAACAAGAGTCTACTCTTTATTGTACATATAATTTGAAATAAGAGGAACCGGGATAATGATAGCAGCATCAAATTATTCAGCCCGAGGCAGAAGCTTCTCAATGGATGCACAAAATAGCATATTCATAGGATCCGTCCATTGGAAGTTTTCTTAAACAAAATCGTTTGGATGTGTTACTTTGGCAACTATAATATTAATACTCTTTCTGCTTATAATTACCACCTCTGGTCCTAATTATGAGAGCTAGTTGACTAATTTGAGAAGATTAAAGAAAAAAATTAAGTTAGTTATTTATCATAAATATGTGTTGTCTTTCTTAAAATATCCCTACTAATCAAGTGTATTGGCCATAACTATCATTATTAGAAAGATTATCTTAAAAAAAAATACATAAATATTAGAAACAAATAGATTGAAGTTTTATATTTAGAACCAAAATAAAAAAAAAAAATCCTATATTAAGGACCGGAAGTAATATAAGAGTTGAATAATTTACAAATACTAAATAAATTAGTTTAAGTTTATTCGTAACTGATGTGTTTCCTTAAAATTTTTTTTAAAATTATTATTCTTATTGACATTAATTTCTTTTACTATATACAATTAATAAAGATAGTTTAAAAAAGATAAAAAATAAAGTAAATTGAGATACTATACTTAATATTGAAGTAAATCTATCAATTAGTTTCTGTATGTACGAATAGCGGAAATATTAATGTATATGGAAAACTGACAAGGAGAATATCGTTCCTCTCTTCCATTTCCTTTATGGCCATATAGCAGAATATTGGTTTCATCGATTGGAGAAATTCAACACAAGATGCTAATTTTAAAAATAAGATTTTCTTTTCGTTTTTCATATTGCTACGGGACCCACCCAATAATGAAGATGACAGGAATAAATGGGGCCCATACCCGGACCCGGCTTCTCTCCTTTTCCTCCTCCTATTCACTGCTGCCATCCTTCACTTAACAGTATAGCATTGTAATGCGGACACTAAAATGCATTTCTGGAGTCATAAGGTCCTCTCACAGCCATTGTTCAACCAATGGCTGCCAACATCAGCATCGCTAACCAGCCCTTAATACGCTCATCAGAATCTGGAGTTTTAAGATATTCTTCATTCTTTAATCACTTCCCTTGTTTGCTATGATGCCCAATTCCTATTTGATAATCCTAATGAACATTATTGTCATCTTGATCATCATCGGACTCCAATTTCTTCTCGTGTTTTGAACTCTTCCTGGTTTCGTGACGATGCTCTCGTCTGTCTTTCTCCTCCTTTGACCGGTCTCTGTTGACTTCACTTTTGTTCTCATAATCCTCGTAATCATCCCGCAAACCGGATCTTCTGTGTTTGGATATTTTCCTAGAAGACTCTCCATCTCTATCAAATGAACATGTGCCAGATTCAGTATCACTGGTTGAATATCCATAGTCCCTGCTCCTATTTCTAGAGCTTCTGCTTTTCCTATGCCATTTCTTATCTCCATCCCTATCTGACCAATCCCCAGATCCAGCCTCATCAATGTTTCTCTGCCTTTTTCTTGAGCTCCTTCCTTCACCACTGGGCCTTTTTTTCCTGTCCCCAGGTACAGCATCTGAATCCACATCAGAATAACCATCTTCGTTTCTTCTCTCATCATCCTCCTTCCTATTAATTGAGCATTTTCTACAGGGTTGATGGTGCTTTTTTCTGTCCCCAGGTGTTGCATCTGAATCTACATCAGAATACCCTTCATGGCTTCTTTCATCACCTTCGTTCCTAGTAGTTGAGTGTTTTCTATGGTGGTGATGGCGCTTTTTGCTGTGCCCAGGTGCTGCATCTAAATCGACACCAGAGTAACCTTCATAGCCTCTTCTCTCCTCACCCTCGTTCCTCGTAGTTGAGTGTTTTCTACAGCACTGATAGCGCTTTTTACTGCACCCAAGTGCCGCATCTGAATCCACATCAGAATAATGTTCGTGGCTCCTCTTGTCACCCTCGTTCCTAGTAGTTGAGTGTTTTCTATGGTGCTGATGGCGCTTTTTACTGTACCCACGTGCCACATTGGAATCCACATCAGAATATCCTCCGTAGCTTCTCTCATCACCATTGTTCCTAGTAGTTGAGTGTTCTCTATGGTGTTGATGGCGGTTTTTGCTGTACCCACGTGCCACATCTGAATCCACATCAAAATAACCTTCGTGGCTTCTTCTCTCATCACCATCGTTCCAATTAATTGAACTTTTTCTATGGCGAGTATGGTGTTTGCGGCTATCTTCTTTCCTATCCGACCATTCCCTATCAGTGTCAGAATCAGAAGTTCTACCTTTCCCTTTATGCTTGTCTTTCAAGTTGGTAGTTTGTTCACATATTTCCCCATCACGAGTTCTGCTCCATTTTCTTTCATCTTCACGTTTTCTTCTACCAGAACTATTGCTATTGAACTCGCCAATCTCCCTGGACCTTGATCTCCTCGAATGGTACCTATAAGAGACGTGCTACTGTAAGGACCAGTATAAATTGCATGCTTAAATCTAAAAAAACCGTGGGGAAAAAATAAGATACATGAGAAAACAAGACAGATTAACAAGCTTATCCGTACAAAACTACTCCATGCATATATCCTGCACATAGCAGAATTTTTAAGTTGCCAATGTCAAGTTATTTGACATGCACACTGGTTTTGATGCAGAATGGCTAGAAGCCAAGCCGCATAATATAATCTGTGAAACCTTTTCTTGGATTTTGAAAACAAATTCAAGACAATTCCTATAATTGGAGCGTTGATCCTATTCACAGGATTATAAACAAAGCAGGAATTTTGAAGAGTCTTGTCAGTGGAACGGTCACCATTATTAAGACCCTTTTTCAAAACAAGAGAATCATTAAACCCCTTTTACTCAAATCTTCTTTCGTCATGCCAAAATTATCTTGTTTTGTCCAGCCAACCATTGAATCCATAACATCTTGAGCGACTGAGAATGAAAAGTTTGCATGGCCTTTTGTTCTTGTCCCACTTGTTGATGACAGACTTTTCTCACATATCCTCTGAGAAAGTTGAACGTTCAGCACACCTTATGTTGGGTGTAAAAGTTGATAAAGAACTTTAGGAGTCTAGTATTTAAACAGACTGCGTAGGAAACTAAGGTATGAATAGGTGCAACTGTCCAACGAGGTTTATAGCATTCCACTTAATAGCTTGGGATTAGATGGCAACAAATACATTGTTAAGCATCAAAGCATCAGAAAAGAAGCAATTAATAAGCCAGCTAACAAATATAAAATAAAGCATGGTAGGAGAAAGAGTAATCAGAATTAAAAGCGCACCTGTGTGAATCTGCTTTCTGTATTTTGCTTGAGCTCTTCAGATCACTAGCTTCTTGCTCCATCAATTTCTCATGTTCATCAGAATAACCAAATAAAGCAGCCATCTTTTTCACCCAATACTTTGGCGGTGGTTTGTCAGCATCAGCCCATTCATAATCTCCTCCAGGATTACGAAAACAGTGGATAAAATTGCAAGCTGAACCATGGGAACAGGTCTGTTAAGGTGAAAAATGGGGAAAAAAAATAAAAATCAGACTAATATCAATATAAAGAGACGGCTGAATGATGTAGGACCACTAACAAGCATAAGCAAAAGAGAGCTAATAGAACTCATTATAAAAAGTTGATTAACAAAAGAGAGTTCTAGTGAGTACAGGGCTTATATATGGCCCAAAGGATACATATAAACAACTAAACAAAATATTATGATCTGAAGTCTTAAATTATAAAATCATAACAAATTAGTCAAATTAGAACATGATAAGATAATCAAGGGTAACTAGTTCTAATCCTAATTTAATGTCAACTAAAATGATGCTGATCTTATTTAAAATCTTGTTTCTAATATTCACTGAGGATTTTCAATTTACAAATAGTTAATTTTAGATTTCATAATTTATATTTATCCTCTCATAATAAAGCTATGATATCTTTTATCAATCTAAAACATCTTCCGCCATGTTATTTGATGTAACTAATAAAGAACACAAGCAATATGATAGGCAGCAACTCCTGAAGCCAAAAGAAAAATAAATATACTTGACATGAATAAAATTGAACCTTGAACCCTGACTTCATATACTCCCCACATATTGCAACCTTCCATCTGGTCACGTTCACAAATTCACATCTAATCTGCCAAGAACAACCAGGTATATCAACAGAATAAATGTCAGGGAACCAACTATTGTGCATTTGATCATGAATATCCAAAGTGACCAAGTAACTGGAAATCTTTTATTTAAAGAAAAACAGTATGGGCCATGAAAAAAATCTATACTCCAATTTTGTATAGGAGATGATACATAATTTCGAATTCAACCTATTATCCTATGATCAAATGTCTCATAAATTTCCAAGCACTTGGGCAACAATCCCAGCATACTTAATGCTGCTGTGTCTTTCCATATTCCTAAACTACCACGCATCTAGAAATTCGTCTCTAGAAAAGTTCAACTGCCACAAACATTCGGTACAAAACTGAACATTCCTTAGCCTTGTTTCAACCTGAGTTCATTCTCTTATATAGTTTTAAAATTCATGTCTTTAAGGGATTTCAATTCCAAAGGAGCTAAATAGAACCCTGAACATCAAGCATTCATTAATGCAACAAATAGGAAGTTAAATAGATTGTCAGACATGGCGGAAGTGAAATCCTAAGATAGACCAAAGGAGTATAAACTACAATCATATTTAAAATTTTCGTTATATTTGTTCACAATAGGGATTCGTACCTGTTTTCCAGCAAAGTAACGACCATTGATTGAGTTATATGCAAGGACAGCAGAGTCCATTGATTTATAGTGCACATAGACATTTCCTCGCAAGTGAAATGAACCATTTTTACATACCTGACAAGAATAAATAGAAAGACAGCACTGAGATTGCAAAGAGATAACATAAGCAAAAGATGAGAGAAAATCAGGAAATGGAAGCAGCCCAAAACCCTCAAATTGTTATTTTTGCAACATAGATTATGCACCTTGGATGCAATTATAGTTTTTCCTCTTACTTTGCCAAATTAGGAAATTGATATACCCTTTTAGTCCTCCTTAGCGGCTTTTACAACAGAGTGGGTTGGTTTAGAAAAGGGATGGGATGACAGGAGGAGGTAAGAAACTGCTCCATACAAAAACCTCAGCAGTTGGATTGAAAAATAAGGCACTTGAATTAATGAAAAATTAAATGAGAGGAGCAGAAATACAGACATTTGCACGTGTAACTGCTATCAAGAGGTTCTAAAAATTTAGGAGCCATATTGACTAAGAAAGAGCTGCTTGTTAGTGCACTCAGTTTAAGAGCTATCAAGAATCTTCTTGCAGGTTAAAAAGGAGAGTCAATCGTAGTGCACCCACAGTAACTAACGGGTGTTTCTTTGGGTAATCTAACTACGGGACAACTAGTAAAAACAGGGTTTCATTGGTCACTTTAATTAATACATACATCTTTGGATAATTTTTTTTGGGTCCTTTTCTTTACACCTTAACTTTGGCTCCCCATATTTTCCATATGAACTCTTTTGCTAAAATACGAATCAATATTAATATCAATCAATAATCAATAATATAATATAAAAATTATAACAAACTGCAATATTATGTGCTATGAATTGTGCATCTCATTTCTCAAACACCATATTATGCAAGGGAAAACATGTCTAGTATGATATTAAATGAGGACTTCACATTTTAGGTAATGCAAACACAATATGCAATAAAAAAATAACCTTAAAGTTCACAATTTCTCCAAATTTCAGGAACTCTGTGTGAACATCCTCATAAAATTCTTCAAAACTATGTTCCACCTCTTCGTCTGTATACTGAAAATAGAGAAGTCAGTCAAACAAAAAGAAAAGAAATCAGATGAGAACAACAAATAATGGAGGAAAGATTTTAATTATGAATCCCAACCACCCAGTCATAGATGCTATTTTTAGAGTCTAGGGTTCCCTAAAAGATCCACATTGATATCATAATCTTTCTAATATTCCAAAAGCTTTCTAGTGATTTGCAAAGCAAATTGCTATTACTACAAACTGAATATGAGCAAAAGAAAAAAAGGACAGAGCAATAAACAGGCAATTCAAAAGCCAAAGTTCCAAACTACAGCTTTAGAATGTTGAATTCTGAAATTCAGAAGTCTATGATGATTCGTTTTATATTTAAATAGGAGTAATATGGAGGAGATAGTTTGAATCGAGGAATCAGCCCAATAAATCTCATAAATCAAGGAGGAAGACAAGGAAATAAATACATAATAGACATAGCATGAGACATGGAAATAAAAAAAAGGAAAGAAAAAAGTTGACTATAACACTAAAATCCTATGAGATAAACAAGGGAGAGTCAATAAATAAATATGCTCATAATTGAGAGATTCAGACACTCCTCAAGCTGGTCACAACTAAGAGTTAGCATTGCCAATCATAGTCAAAAATCCCGTTCCAGTTTAAGCGTGCAAACTAGACCCAACAATCTTCTCTCATTGTTGGGTTCTTTTGATCTTTATTTCCAAGCAATGTTTGCACCAATTTACATTACTCCTTGAAAACGGGTTATTTTCATGTCAAGGTATTTCCTTGGCGGTCGTCATCATAGACTAACTAGTTCCATCATTTTGTTTTGACTTCCAATTTGCTAGTTTGTCATGAGTTTCCTTCCATTGTGTGACCGAAGTCACTAGAGTGGTCACATCATGCATGGGTCTGCTTTTTCAGATTGAACTCAGTTCCTAAAAAATTGTCTCTCAATCAACAAGTGCCACTTATTCACTGTAACTGAAATTGAAATGTATCATTTACTTGTTTCTAGCATCCTCATGCCTGACCTTTAAGAAAAAACTGAGTGAAGGAAGTGTTCTTGAAAGAACTCTCCCTCCAGCTCCATCACAGCTGCTGTCAAGGCCTATCAAGAATTTGTATATTGCTTCTCAACAATTTTTTGGCAGTTGGCTATCATGGCGGCAATTTCCAACGCACCAAGTTGACTTGTAACATTGATCTAGTAGCACTTTTTCTTGTCTCAAAGTCATGTACGAGGCTTTCAGTTTCATAGGCTTCAACAACACTTTCATGAGTAGAGTAGGATTCAGAAGCAGATTCCCATATAACATGGGCGGGCTTACAGTAAATGCAAAGCTCCCTGATCTCTGCACTCATGGCCTTAACCAACCACAAAATAACAGGACTGTTTCAGCATGCCATTTCTTGTACTTCAAGTCATGCTTTTCAGGAGGAAAAACTCTGCCACTTAAGTATTCCTCTTTACCTTTACCCGTTGCATGCATCAACTTGGATTTAATCCATTCAAGATAATTGTATCCATATCCAATGAATTTGTAAATTGTAAGTGGTAAGAATCATCAATGATGAACTGAAACCTCCTGGGTCAGCGACATCATCTCTAGAGTTTCCTCTACCATGCAGCAATATTTCAAAAGTAGCCTCCACCTTTATTTGACACCAAGGATTGCCTCATACCCCTATTTAGTCATATGAGTGTTCAAGCTAGTAGGCTTTTGTTCTATAGCAAATGAAACAGAAAGGATGAAGGAACTATCTTCTGTTTTAAAATTTAAAGCTGAGCACAGCGACAAGTTGAAGCGAACAGGACAATGAAAGTCCAGTTCAGATAAAAATAAGTTAAAATCTCTGTTCTCAAACATGTAAAACAGAGAGAAAACATTACAAACTGGATATATATGTACATATAAAGCAACTGGAGAACAATAAATGGGCAGTTTAAAACCATACTTCCAAGCTTCGGTTTTAGAATAATTAAAACTTTGTGGATGACAAGTCTGCTAAAAGCTTGGGCAACTTGTTTCATGTTGATATGGATAATGTCATATAAAGAAGCCATGAAAATAAAATTATGAGTTATGAGTGGTATCCCCTCAGACTAAAACAAAAGAAAGCTTAGGTTTGTCTTTTAAGAACCACTAACTGCATCCATGTTTTTTTAGGTCCTGCTACCTGCAATATCAACCCTTAGGATGTCATAACATTAGTCTGCAACACAGCTCCACAACCCATGACTTGGATGTTGCCTGACAACTACTCATGGTTAAGGAGAATTCTTGTAAATTATTAGCTTAGGATATTCAATAACGTGACACACATCAAAAAAGTTAATATGAATTCTCAGTATGCATTCTCCATTGAAATGCTACATTGACATAAAAGCAATTGAAACATCAGGGAAATACAAGTATCTTTTTTCCTCAAACAACAAAAGTTATATAAGGATGATGATGATGGTACTACTTTTTTTCCTTAAAATAAATTCAATTAGAAGATTGAAAAATGTAGAAAGAGGGGCTAAAAAAGAACAAAAATAAGTCAAACAAATATGATTGAAAAGAAAGAGCAAGAGAACTGTAAGTCACAATACAATAACTAATTAACGAAAGGAGAACGTGAATATGTGAAGGATATTCCCATGTTAAGCAAGTAGGATACAGGTACAGCATCTATTATCTTTAACTTCAATCAACCAAGGCCAAAACCATGAACCTCCACCGAAATGTGCCTCGCAATCTATCTCTGATTATGATAGAGTCAAAGAACAGGAGAAATACCTCTAAAAATAAAAGAAAACAAATGAATACCTTCCTAACCAAAGACATCATCCGCGGCATCCAAATGAAGAATTTCCAAATTGAAAATATTGAAAAATAAAAAATAGTGCATTCCATGCAACCCAATTACACCAAACTTCTGAAGATGAAAGGTGGGGAGGATACAATCTTTAGCAATGCTAAAATCACCGTCATAGAATAGACCAATTTAACTTGACTTCATTTCTACTCAAGTCTTTCAAAGGAAATAACAAAAATAAACTCTAGCACCTTAATCAGACATATGCCACAGCAACATATAAAAATTAAGTTTCACAAACAAACAAAGAGACAAATATATATTTAATAATCCTGAATATAGATAATTTGTTTCAAACCATTTATATTCTAAGTTGTAATAGGGAACTACATTTAGGCCAAAATACTCAAAGGATAATCTATTGTTCAAACACCAAAGCAAACTATAGAATAATTATGTCAGAAGAAAAAAAACGAAGAAGATATTTGGAACTTCTAATAGGATACAATGAACCATTAAAGCAGCATTAACAGACCTCAAGCCCCTCATCTTGCTCCCAAGCAAGGCCTGGACCAGTGTACATGTTTTTCATAAGAAGTGTGCTTGATTTATCAGGGTAAAAATGGACTCTGCTACAACGTTGACCAAATCGACATGTGCCAGTTTTCAAATGGAAGGGGCAATGAGCTTTATCCTGCCATACACAAGTATACAAAGTAAAATTTTAGGAAATATGACACCTAACAAGCATATTGAGATGACAATCACAGTGGAAATGGGCATAAAGTCAAGGTTACTGGATACAGCATATTTTTTATATCACGTAAAAGAAAGAAACCTGTTCAGTCCCAAAATTTGGCACTTGTTGTGCAACACTCTCAAGAACCTGCTGCGCAGAAGCTGCTGATGAATTTGTGTAATCAGCAAAAACTTCGGATTCCGGAGGTAGAGGATTTGATGTAGGTTTGTCAGCATCCTGAAGTGCAAGGACATCCAACAAATGCACAATGATTTACCACCAAAGTTATAAAACTGACGACAAACCTAATTGCGTAAAAGAATTAAAAGTAAATAGAGAATTACCTCCCTTTTATTTTGGTGGCTTGAATCCTTCTTGGGAACCCTCACTTTTTTCTTTTTGAAAATGATCTCGTTTCCTTGCCAAATAATTTCAGCGGGACCTTCCTCCACATATTCCCATTCACCATCCTCATTCAATTCGGTCTCCTTCTCTTGCTGCAGAATATAATTCTAAACTCATTTAAAAAGAAAATTCACTGTATATAAATAGATGCATCAACGTATTTGAATATGCATATGGTAGAATCATAGTTCCCAACCTCAGACCATCAAATTCATGTGACTTTTTTAAATCCAAACTCTCTCAACAACGAAAGGAAGTTCAATGCATAATAATGGCGTACAGTTCACAAATGAAATGTGAATAAAAATTATTAAGACAGATTAATAATCTTAACAGAGAAACAAAATGATATATAGGAGAAATAAGTTTCTTAAAGAAAGGAACAAGCCAAATACCTCACCAACCTGTTGCTTATGAGTGTCTTCGAGAAGCTTCCTCTGCTCTTCTTCAGCCGCCTTCTTCATCTTCTTCTCCATAGTCTCAATCCACGCCCTTTCTCTCTCCTCAAACAGCTTCCTTTCCCTCTCAACCCTCTCGGCCTCTTCCTGCTCCATCAGAAGTGCTCTTTTCTGCTCCTCGGGATCGTTGAGCCGAGCCTGCTCTTCCTCGCGCTCCTTTGCTGCTATCTCCTTCCTCATTTGCTTCCGCTTCAGTTTCTTGATGGCCTTCCTCTTCTCCTTCCGATTCGTACCTACCGATAATGCGATCGTCTCATCTTCTTCGTTTTTCTCAATGCCCGTAGGCTTCTCTTCGCCGTCTTCCTCCTTCAATGGTTCGTCCATTGCGTCTTTCTCTCCGAAGAACTCTAAATTCGCTCCGGCACCGCAGGCTTCTGCAGGACTCGTAACCTTTGCAGAACCAGATGGTGCAAATTACGGCATAGGATCTCTACTTTTCTTCTCTTTTCCTCTTATTTGATAAAATTATTATTATTTTTGTGTAAAATTATAAATAAATTTAAACTATTAAAACTATTTAATATAAAATTTTAATAATTAAATTTATTTTTTAAATTTTCAAATATAATTGTAATAGTTTTATAAAATATTAAAAATAAATCATTAAAAGTATAATTAAAAAGGAATAAAAAAAAGTTTAATATTTTATAAAAATATTATTTTATATAAAAATTTAGGGGAAATGGCAAATAAAGACCCTTGAAAATATAAAATGGCAATTTGGGTACTTCAATTCATAAAATTGCAATCAGAGACCGGGTCCTATATTGCAATTATGAAATGAAACCCAAATGACTAAAATGTCCTTCCTTTTCTCTTTCTTCCAGCACCCCATTTCTTTCTTTTTCCTTCTTCTCTTCCTCTCTCTCTCTGTCCTACTCTCCCTCTCCCTCTCTCTTCCGATATTATAAACGTAAATTTCTGACTTCCTTTCTCTCTCTCTCCCCTCTTTCTTCTCTTTCCTTCTTCTACTCTCCTTTGACTTCATTCTTCTTCTCCAGAACTGTGACGTTCTTCCATGTTTTTCCCAACCCATTGATTTGGAATGGGAAAAATGAAAACATGTTAATTGTGTAGTTTCCATATTTAATTTTCTGCAAAACATGTAATGCTAATAGCCTAATATAGTACTCTTCATATAAAAGCTCTCATTCTCCATAATCTCTCTTTATTCTACAATCTCATCTCCTACTGATATACTCGAATTAACAACTATTACCTCCTTTTATTGTAAAAAACTGGTTGTTGTCAAAGAATTCTGGAAATTATCATTTACGAAGAGAAATGTAAACTTGTATAAAAACCTTATCAGAAGTGATAAGTTCACTATGACAAATGACAAGCTGAGTATGGTAAATGACAAGTTCTCATAAGGTTTTCATACAATTTCAAATTTCTCTGTTAAAATGACTGAATTTTTATATTGATTTATGAAATGACAAGTTTACTATGGCAGATGACAAGTTGAGTTTGACACATGACAAGTTCCCATAAGGTTTTCATACAATTTCAAATTTCTCTGTTAAAATGACTGAATTTTCATATTGATTTACGAAGTGAAAGTTTACTATGACAAATAACAAGTTGAATATGACAAATGACAAGTTCCCATAAGAATTTCATACAATTTTAAATTTATCTGTTGAAACGACTGAATTTCCACATTGATTTACAAAGTGACAAGTTTACTATGACAAATGACAAGTTGAATTTGGCAAATGACAAGTTTCCATAAGGTTTTTATGCAATTTCAAATTTCTCTATTAAAATGACAGAATTTTCACGTTGATTTACGAAGTGACAAATTTTACTATGGCAAATAACAAATTAAGTTTGGCAAATGACAAGTTCCCATAAGGTTTTCATACAATTACAAATTTCTCCATTAAAATGACTGAATTTCTACATTGATTTACGAAGTGACAAGTTTACTATGGCAAATAACAAGTTGAGTTTGGCAAATGATAAGTCCCCATAAGGTTTTCATACAATTTCAAAAAAATGAATGAATTTTCACATTGATTTATGAAGTGACAAGTTTACTATGGCAAATAACAAGTTGAGTATGGCAAATGACAAGTTCCCATGAGATTTTCATACAATTTCAAATTTCTTCGTTAAAATGACTGAATTTTCATATTGACTTACAAAGTGACAAGTTTACTATGGCAAATGATAAGTTGAGTTTGGCAAATGACAAGTTCCCATCAGGTTTTCACACAATTTCAAATTTATTTGTCAAAATGACTGAATTTTCATATTGATTTACGAAGTAACAAGTTTACTATGACAAATGACAAATTGAATATAGCAAATAACAAGTTCCCATAAGGTTTCATACAATTTCAAATTTCTTTGTTGAAATTAAAATTTACAGATTTCTGACAGCAACTACTTCTAATAAGCAGTAAATGACAAGTTTAGTAAGATTAATGACAAGTTCAGTGAGTTGAACCCCTTGTACAAGGAAACTAATTACGAGCTGCACCTCATGCAATCTTGAGTCTTACATTCCATCATAAAGTTGACTTCCCTTCCTCATTCACATGCAATGAATCATCCAAGCTTTCATTCTTTAAGGAGGAGTAGATTATGAACTTGTCACCATCAAATTGAAATGTATTTCCTAATCTAACCATAGTCCTCAAAGAATTTCTTGACACCTTGTTCCATTTGGAAGAATTGTCCTATACGCAAGACAAAATCCAATATGATCTTGGTATGTTTTTTGGGTATGTACACAAAAAAAAGTTCAGACTATATATAAAAAGACACATACACATTAAAATAGCCTTTGACTTTCTCCATGAAACTGATAAATTGACTAATGAAAGTTAATCATGAATTTTCATTTCTTGATTTCCTCCATAACTACCTGACTCACAAAGACAATACCAAAGACAAAGTAAGAAAGAAGGAGGAATTCAAAATGAGTGTAAGCAAGGATAAGGCGTAAGTATCTTCAAGTTTTGGTATAGTCTTCATAAGTTATGGTAAGATAATTATTAGATATGCATAAAGCCCTGTTTTAGACAGTAGAAAAACATAATGAATTGATAATGTTCTAATATATCCAAGGTGATAAAAGATGAATCAAATAATGTTGCAGATTTGGTACTTAGTTCAAGCAGGGGCAGAATATCACACTCTGTAAGCATTACACATAATCTTAAACAACATAAAACAATGCTCCAACATGCTTTGCTACACTGTTCCTTCTCTCTCCGAGACAAGGAATAATAATTTCAAAGTAGATTTTCTATTCAAAATCCAACAAACCATCGCAATATTATTTTGTTACAAGAGAGATAATAGTACAAGCTGAAACTTTACCAAATATTCTAAGGTATAGATCCTTCTTTGCTGCACCAGGTTTGTGGCTATGGAAGGTGGAAATGGAGATAGGGTTTTGAGCTATGGTGGAAGAATCAGAACATAGCAGCGCTTTTCTCTCCCTCTAAATTCTGAAGTGAGAGACGTCGCTGAGGTGAGGACTAGAGTGCAATGCGTTGATCTTGATTCAGCAGCAGCAAAGAGAAAGACGAAGAGAGAGAGAGAGCAAGAGAAGAAAGAAAAAGAGGGAGGGGATGAGACGGAAGCAAGAGAAAGGGAATGGCATTTTTGACTTTTCTCCTACATTTCATAATTACAATTTAGGACCCGGTCTCTGATAGCTATTTTGTGAATTGAAGTACCCAAATTGCCATTTTATATTTTCGAAGGTCTTTATTTGCCATTTTCCCCAAAAATTTAACTATTAAAATTTAACTTGAATAATTCAAAATTATTGTGAAACACCTGCCAAAAAAATTATTGTGAAACAAAGTAAAGTGTATGCTTTATAAAGTACTTATTAACAGTTGACAGTCTCAATTGATTTCAGCATGTTCAAACTGTAATAGGAAAAAAGTAGAAAAAATAATTTATAAAATATTTTAATAATAAAAAAGTAAAAAAAAATGAAAAATGAAAAAAAGTTTCTCATTAAAAATTTATTAATAAAAAGGATTTAAATTAGAGTAACGAAACTTTGTGTATACAAATTTTCAAGGTAGCGATAATTCCTGTATAAAAAAATTACCAATAAAATTTTTAAGGGAAAATGAAAGAAAAAGAAATTAAGAATTTGTAATGCCAATAAAAAGAATATCAACAAAAATTTATTGTCATTTACAAATTTAATATTATTAGCACTAAATGAAGTATTGTTACCAAACCTGATTTAGGATTTAATATTTCTAGTTTCTTTTTTTGTCATTCTCCATTTTTTAATGAATGACTTTTTTTTAATTTTTTAAGAACAATCTATTTTATAAAATATTTTAATAATAGTTTAGAGTTTTAAACTATTAAAATTTAACTTGATTTGTAGAATTGTGGGGGAAAAAATAAAAACTACCTTATAAAATATTTTAATAAAATTTTGTTATGAAATATAATATTGACGTGAATATCCATATATCTCTCTATTTTAATAAAAGGGCATGTAACTCCCAAAATTCTTGTAGTTTATTCCCTCATTATACATTCATGAAATACAAAACTTCTTCACGTTTCATCACTTCACATTTATCCTAATGCAACTTTTGAGTTGTAAAGTTACACTTATAATCTTAAAGGTGAATGACTGGCCTTTCTTCTCTCTATTTTTCTACTCATCTCTATAATTATTTCATTCTCTTGTCAAATATCTCTTCTTCTTTTTTTCATGATGGGTTATCAATATGAGTCTCTTACTTTTTTGTGAGGCATAGATGTTAAAAGTTTCTTATTTATCATTTGAAGGTTTTTATCAGCCATACAAAAGCATGATATTTTGATTTCCTTATCACATATATATATTTCATGTTTTATTGCTCAAACTAGTGTTTACTCCCCATGCGTCATTTAAAATGTCTCAAAAAATTTAGCCATACTGAAAGCACTTGCTTGCTTCAATGGAGTTACATAACATCACTATCACATTTATAAAAATCTCCTTATAAACAATCATAGTTTTCAAGTAGCCATCATTGATATCAGCAACAAGTTTCAAATCTTTCTTTCCCCTTACTCTAGACAATGCAATATATAACTGGCTGTGTGCAAAAATAGGCTTGGATAGATAAAGTCTAACATGTTCTAATGATTGTCCCTGCCTTTTGTTGATGATCAAAACAAAGAATAAAGTTATTGGGAATTGTCTCATTTGCGTTTTAAAAGGCTAACGACTTATCCATCTTGTATATAATTACCTTTTGGTTCAGCCTTGAACCATTTAAGGTTATGGCTTGAATGATGGGATATTTGAAGATGCATTCCATTGCGTAAACTTGATGCTTGATCTATGTTTCTCAATAGCATTGTTAGCATTTGAACTTTCAATTGTAGCTTATGTGGTGGCATACTAGAGCAGCCAATAGTATTTA